CTTCTTCTTGGAGTGGGGTCCAGGCGATGCCAGAACTACATTTCCCACAGTGCCCTGGAGGATGGAGCAGGCTCTGACTTTGCCCAGACACCTATGGGACTGCAGTTTCCCTGGAGGGGGTCGGAGGGCACTGTGGGAGGGTGGGGGAAGACGTGTCAGACTGTGGAGAAAGGTCTTGGGAGCTTCAGCTTGGCCTGAAGCCCTAAACTGCCTCCAAGGGCACCCACCTTCCCCCAGGGGATAAGAAATCTTTGCTTCTATCCCCCACCTCCACCCCCACCCCCATCTGAAAAAAGGGTTTGGGGCAGGGGAAGGATACTTTGACAAGCAATTCCTTCTTTACTGTGGCCCTGTGAGAACTTCTTGTCTGCTTCCAAAAAAACCTCCCTGAGAAATGCAAGCACACTTTGGATCTAATCTCCCTGTAAGCAAGGGAGGGAGAATTGGAGGCCAGGAGAGGCTGCCTTCCAGATGTCAGGCATCTGTCCACCCCACTCCCTACCTCGCCCCTCCCCCCACACACACACACTTGATAGGAAGTGTCAGACATCATCACTGAACTATATCAGCATGTATTTTTTCTGGGACAGCAGATGGCATTAGTAGTCTGACATTTTGGAGCTAGACTTGTACAATTGTGTGATGGCCTAAAGGTTCCTGAGAATTGGGGGAGGAAAGTGGAGGTTTCCTCAACTTAGCGTACCAAAGACCTTTGATAACTTTCAAAAAAGCGAAAACAAGCAACCCCCCTAGCAATCTATTAAAACCCACTGCTAGTGAGTCAATTCCTACTCACAGCGGACCCTGCCGGACACGGTAGAATTGTCTCATCTTTCTCCAAAAGAGCAGTTGATGACCTTGCCTTTAGCAGCCCAAGGCATGACCCACTACATCACCAGGGTTCCTTTGATTCCTATCAAAACCCCAAACCAAACTCACCACCATTCAGTCAACTCCAACTCCCAACAACTTAATAGGGTGGTTTTCCGAGACAGTAACTCTTTACAAGAGCAGATAAGTCTCCTCTTTGTCCCACAGAGAGGGCGATGGTTTTGGATGGTTGACTTTGTGGTTAGTAGCCATAACCACTAAGCCACTAAGTCTAGATTCCTATCAAGGACTCAGTAAGGCTTGCCTTCCCTCTTCCACCTGGATTTGGGAATCCAGATATAGCATAAAGATATATGACCCTGACTGGCCTTGAGAGCCGGGGAACTTAACTTTTAGCCTGGCTCTGCCCAATCTGCGCTACCTTCCACCAAGGTTCATAACTTCCCTGACCTCAAATGTGCTCTCTGTGAAATCATGTGGTCTGGAATGATCCTAGCTGAAATCTCTGTTTATGATTCTGGCTGGATGATGGCTTCTCCACACCTAGCCCGAGGGGAATCGGGTTGAAAAAAAGGAGATGGACCCTTTATTTAGAGGTTGCGCCTATATCGTAGTATCCCTGCTCACTTAAGCTGTGATTAGGGCAGGGAACAGCATCTCATTCCCAAACCCACCGCTGGGACTTCCCCCACCAAACTAGGTAGCGCTCTTGTAAAATACAAGCCCAATCAATAAGCGCTCCCATAGAAGAGCTGGTGTGTCTGCTTCCTGGGAGGCTGGTTAGTGGGACTTAATGTAGGTTATGAGAGGGGGGCAGTGTGGTTGGTTGGAATAGAAAAGGAGAGAGGAATTTGATGGCTTGAAGGGGGGGGTGTGGCTTTTGTTGGCTTGGGAGGAAGGACCTGCCATTTTCTAGGTCATCTCCCCATGTGGCCGATTCTCTCTGGCTCATGTTTGTGTGTGTGCAGGGGGTTGGAGGGGCTACTGGCACAGCAATGTGGAGGACAGCTAGCCTTGACCTGCCCCTTCCTTGGCTCTGGGATAAGTGGCCAAGGTGATGAGGTGGGGGGTTGAGCCCTTTGCTCTTCCCTGGGAGTAGGGAGTGGAATGCTGCAGTCCTGGAGATCTTGAGTGATTGGAGTGAGGCCTTTGAGTGGGTAAACAAATAAACACTGCTGGTGAGTCCTTGTGACCTATAGGACAGCGTAGAACTGCCCCATGTGTGTTTCTGAGACTATAATGCTTCAGGAGTAAAAATCCCTGTCTTTCTGGTGAGGAGTGGCTGGTGGTTTCAAACTGCCGGCCTTGAGGCTAGCAGCCCAATGCTTAGCCACGACACTACCTGGCTGCCTCCATTTTTTACTCCCTCCAGAGACTGTCTCACCTTTGTGCCCTTGAGAAGTGACTGGTCTTGGCTTGGGGAAGAACCCCGAGGGGGCCCTGCATTTACAGTATGGCTGGTGAGGCCAAAGCCAGGATTTCTAAAGGGGCTGATGTTTGTGGAAAGGGAAGCTGATCTCTTTGTTGGGCTCTTCTTTTTCTGCAGGGTAATGAAGCTTGAAGCCCTTTGTGGTCTAGCCCCTCCAGAAGTCCCTAATCCAGAAAAGGAGGCGGTGCCAGATGCCGAGCTGAGCTCCAAGTCGAGGCCACAGGATGCAGGGGCCAAGGTCAAGGCCCTGGGAGTCAGGCCCAAGCCTGCACCAGAGTTGGGGGATGAGGCCCAGGCCCTGGGAGCCGAGGCAGGGCCTGAGACTGAGACTGAGCCGCTGGACTTCGTGATGGCCACTGAACGGGAGTTTGAGGAGGTGCTGGCCATCTCAGGGGGCATCTACGGCGGCCTTGACTACCTTCCCAGCCGCTACCACAGCTGGCTCCGGGACCCCAACCGCACTGTGGTGCTGGCCAAGCGTAATGGAGGCGTGGTGAGAGCTGCGGGGTGGATGCGTGCATCTTAGGTAGAAGGGGGCGCCTCTCCTGCAGCCCTTGTTTGGTGGCTGAGGACAGAGGATCGGCAGTGGTAAGGAAGAGTACTAAGTGTAGCTCCTGGGGCTAGGCCGCTGAGGGGACGTGGCGATCTCCAAATAATGTTAGGAGCCTGCTGGAGTGAGACCTGCGAGGCTTAAGGAGTTTCTGGGGGCTGGGGCACCAAAGGAGCATAGGCCATGTATATTGAGCTGGGTGGGAACAGCTACAGTGGAGCCAGGGTTCCCTGAACAGGCGGATCTTGTCTAAAGAAGTCTTGAATGGAGAAAGCAGGACCCTGGCTAGGATCAGCTGGGGGGCGGGGCAAAGCGGGTCAGTCTCCTGATGAGTTCTCGAGGGCGGAGCCAAAGCGAGGGGCGTGGCGAGCCGGCCAGGACACAGTACACCTGCTGAGCTAGAGCGACTGCCGAGGTGGAAGAGACCCTAGCCGCTAGTAGCAAAGACGGTCGGCCTGCTCCAGACCCGAGATCTGAGTGCTGAAGAGCGCTTCCCAGGCAGGCCTCCGTCTCCGGTCTGGCGCCCGGGATGGTGATGACGGAGTCTCAGCGTGTGGGAAAAGGCCAGTCCTGCGAGACGACGACCCTGGCAGGGCAGTGTCGGGAAGGGGACACCCTAACGGCCTCGGTCCGCAGATCGCGCTCGAGTCGGTGCACGTGATCGACGCGGGGGAGACGGCGCTGGTGGAGGGGCTGCGCGTGGCGCCCTGGGAGCGTGGCAAGGGCGTGGCCGGGCTGCTGCAGCGTTTCTGCTCGCAGCTGGCCAAGCGACAGTACCCTGGGATCAAGGTGACACGACTTACCCGGGACGACCAGCTGAGCCCCCGAGAGCTGAAGAAATACCGTCTAATCACTAAGCAGGTGAGAAGGTCCTGGTGCGCTCTGGTGGCCTGGCCTCTCCCCTGGGTGCAGGAGCTTCCCCTCCGGTCCTCTAGACAACCAAGGACTTCCTCTCTGGGCCCTTCTGCTCTGCGGGAGCGAAACAGATCCCGATCCTCTGCAAACCTCGAGACTGGAAAAGATTGGAGAACGCAGGAATTGGAATTTAAGTGGTCCGGCTTTTGCCCTGCGCACTTCCCTCCCCGCCATCTGGCTTTTTGGTCCCACCCACCCACTCTGGATGCTTCCTACACCCTTCTTTGCCAGCCTCCCTCCCCCCGGCCTGCCTCCCCCCTCCCCCCAGCCCTCTAGCTTGCAACTTCGACATTGGTCTCACTCCTCCTTGGGGACCCGAACGCTCGGACCCCTTGTCCCTGGTCCTTCCCGAGGGACCTGGTGTGGGCATGAAGAGGGCGAAGGTCGGGCATAGGACCTTTCTGTTCCCCGTGTTCTCCGCAGGGCATCCTTTTGGTTCGATTCAACGCGTCAGAGCTGCTGGCGGGGCTGGGTGCGCGGCTGGCGGCGCTGCGGGCCTCCGGCACTTTCTCGCCCTTGCCCACCGAAGCCGTGTCCGAGGCCAGCGGCGACGTGGCGCGCCTCCTACTGTCTCCCTCGGTGCAGCGCGACGTGCTCCCGGGAAGTACTATCATCCAGGACTGGCAGCCCTATCAGCCGAGCGAGAGCAACCTGCGCCTGCTGGCCGCCAAGAGCCTGGAGTGGCGGGTGGATAGCCGCGCGCGGCCCCGCGTGCTCACGCTGTGCACGCGCCCCTTTCCCATCCCGCACGGTGGCGATGGCACCTGGCGCTGCCTCAACATCGACGCTTTCGGCAATGATGGCGCGCAGGTGCAGAGCCAGCTGCTCTGGCACCTGCAGCGCCAGGCCCCGCGTCTGGCTGGCCTCAATGTCATGTGTCAGCTCTTTCTGGCTCCCCAGCTGTGGTCACAACTGGCCGACTTCTGCCAGACCGGCCTGGGGCTAGAGCTGGTCAAGGGTTATACAGAACAGTGCCTGCTGGAGGCGGATCTCTGAGGTCCCCCCTTCTCAGGGAGAGGGCTGCTGGGGAGGCAGAAGAAGAGATGCACTTTAGGGCCTTCCACTTCCGCAGGTTTCCCGCTCAGCTCCGCCCCCCTGCCAATTCCAAGCTCCGCTCTCCCTCTGCCTGCTGGAGCGTGCTTCGACGCCCGTCCCTTCCGAGGCCTTGCCCCTGGTCCCACCCCTTCCTTAGACCCCTCTGTCCGCCAGCTTGCCTCTAGCGCCCCCAGCCTGACCTCACTGCTGGCTAGGAGCGAGTTCCTTGCGCTGCTGTGGTCTACGCCCTCCTCTTTCCTGCCTCCATGCAGGCGTCTGAGCCCCCGCCTCTCCCAGCCTGTCGCCCTAGCCTGGGAGTGAATGCTACCCTACTTGGCTTCTCCCAACCCCTCCCTTCTCCCCCACTTCCTGGTCCTGGAAGCCGGGAGCAGTGTGCAGTGACGGGTACCGGACCAAGAGCTCAGCCTCAATGAGCTTTCTTCCTCCCGCCCTTTCTCCAGCCGTTCCAGAGGAGCCCCACAGCCTCCAAGGGTCCCCTCCCCTGTCGCACCCCACGCCGCTCAGCCGCTCTCACCAGCAGCGTCTCTTTAGGGGCCGCTTTCTTTCCCCCCCTGCCCGCCTCATCCCTCGCCCAGTGCAATACAGAGAGGTCCTGCGAATGGAATACATTTCTGATGCCCCGCCATTCGGCCCCCTGATTACATTCTGGCTATGCACCTTCTAGAGAGCCTGCCCCGCCAATTTTGCATGAGATGACTACTTCACAGCACCCCCGTGCCCCGCAAACCACCAGGGGGTTCTGGCTGGAGAGTTTGGTGCAATGGAGGGCCGGTCCCTCAGCCTGGGGTAGGGGGCGTCGCCTGGTTTCAACCAGGCTGCCTTAGAACGCGACCAGAGCCCCCCCCCAACCCGGTTCTCTCTCTCTCTCTGTCTCTGTTCACTCTTCTTAGACTTTGGAGAGTGTTCTATTTAAATGTTCATAGTAATGGCTGCCTGTATTTGTATAGCACTGTCTCCGGTCCTGGATTTCCGCGCGGAGGCTCTGAAAGATCAAAGCGGCGCCATCCCAGTCACTCTAGTAACTGAGTGGGAGAGTGGTGGTGGTGGGGGGGCGCTCCAAAGAAACAGAACCCAGGTCTCCCACGCTCCGAGTGTGGCCCTGGACTTGGGTAGGGATTCTTTTGACAGCTAGCCCAGGGCTACCTGGGGATGGAGTTCGGGGAGTGGTCGGAAGAGGGCGCCAGGAAGGCCGAGGGTAGGCGAAAGGACTGCTCCACCACTTTCCCAGCCCCGCAGTTGGTGGCTGTGTTGCCCCTTCCTGCTTCATGTGCCCGGCCACGCTGCCACTCTGGCCATCGCTGTATTGCAATAAAATGAATCCTTTGCCCGCCCTCTGTGTCTGTTTCACTTAATGGGGAGGGTTGAGCTGCATCACACCCCACCCTCCTTCCCCAACAGCCTGTATTCGAGAAGATCTCTAAGCCCCGTGGCCATGGGACTAATGACTTCCTGGGGGTGGGGTGGGGGGGACGGAGGAGGGCTGCTGGTCCTGTGAGCCCCCGCACCCACCCTAGCCAAGCGGGCTGAGAGAAGCGGCTGCCCAGAACCGTGCCTCCCAGCCAAGCCTCTGGGTTCGCTTTGCCGGAACTGGGGAGCTTGCTGCCGCCCCAATCTGGGGTTTCTTCGCCACTCGCAAGTTTCACTTGGCAACCAGGACGAGCCTCCGGATCCAGTCGCCTAACTCCTAACTCTCCACCTGGCATTCCCGATTCCGGGAAGGGCACAGTGCGGTGGTGAAGGGGACAGGGAAGAGGGAACGTGGGCTCCGCCCCCCGGAGCTGAGCTCCGAAGCTGCGGAGACTGCGCTCCCGAAAAGTAACACGCGGGGGCGCCAGGACGCGTGCTCCCGCGGGCGAGGCAGCGCGAGGTGGTTTCCATCTGTGTGAGTGTGTCCATGTGCGTCTTTGTGTGTCTGCGTTTCTGTTCCTGTGTGTACGAGGCCAAGGGTGTCAGAGTAGGAGATTATCGGAACGAGGGGCCAGGTGTACCCCAGGAACAGGGGCTCCAAGTGGTTTTCTTTTTGCTTTGTTTGTATGAGGGTGATGCTTGATCTGTTACTACGTACGCGTGGATAGCGAGGCAGGCGACTTCTGGGCATCGTCGCGGGTGCACAGTGCGACCGACGTCTTGGATTTTCAAAGTCGCATTCCTGGAGCGCTCTGATCGCCTCCCCGGAAAAGTAAGGAGGGCTGTCCAGGTGAATCTCCAGTTCCCCTGGTCACATCCCGAGCATAGGTGACACTGCCAGGCGAGGTGTGACATTGTTTGTGTAAGTGGGTGTGTCCCTGAATCTTGGTGGAACTGCACGCTAGAGTGCCCTATGTGTTTGGCAGGTTAATGTTGGAGGGGCTGGTTCCACCCACCATTTCCTGGCTCAGGTTAATTGGTGGACCCCCACCCCGTCCCCCATCATGGTGATATGGGGCCTTTTTCCTTCCTCCGTCTCTCCAGTAGCTGTCTCTGTATCTCTCCCCATCTCTGTTTCTCTCCCTTCCGTTCTTGGTGACTCATCTATGCGGCATTGTCCTCCCCTCCCCCCTCGCTGGGTCTCCCTTCCCCCCACTCAGAAGTGGGTAAGGGTCTGAGGGAATGGAACCCTAGGACTGAAAACCAAGGTGGGCGCCTCCCTTCTGCTGCTCATCTGGTTTCTAGGACCCACCAGCTGCCCCTCAGCCCTCTCCTTGGACAATTTCCTGCCCAAGGCTCCTTATCCTACGCAACTGGGTGGACAAGGGAATAGGGCAAGAATTCATTCTCATGAGATTATCTTGGGGATGGGGAGGATGCTCAGCACCTTCTTTCAGCTCAAAGCAGAGACCCCCCCCCCTCTCATAAAGTGTTCCCCTCTCTGCCTGCTCCCCTCCAGCTGACGCAATGCAAGGCTGCAGAGGTGAGTCACTAGTGGGGTGGAGAAGGAAAGGGGGGTGGTGAGCTGCTGGTGGGGCTCCAAGCCCCCACCTCTCTCCCAACCCTTCTAAAACAAAACACTCAGGGCTCTGCCTCCCTCCCCCAGGTTTGCCTAGATCAGTTTAGATTATTACTTTGCTGGACCTCGGACTTCCCCACCACCACCACCCGCCCCCTCACCTCGCCTGCTGAGTATAGGAGATTCAGAAATTAAGATAGAAAGTGATGGATTTAAAACAACTTAGAGTCAACCCCAGCCTGCCCCGTCTCAGCTCTGCGGGTTCCAGATTTCTCTGGAAAAGTCAAGGAACCTGCCCCTAGACCAGCACTTTTCCCTGAAGCCCTTAGTGGCAGCAGGGTATGGAAGACACAATGTGCCCCAGGGAGATGAGGATGGGTGAATGAGCTGGTCCAGGGAGGAAGGATGAAGAGAGACAGAAGCAGACCCAGAGATTCAGACACCTGGCAGGCATGTGGGGACAGTCACCAAGTCTAGGGCTCCTACTCAGCTGCCCTCTTCTTCACCTTGGGTTGTCTCTTTTTCTTCATTCCTCTTGGGGTGTCTGTGACTGGAACAGCTCCCTGGGCCCCCTGGGGAGGAGGGGTTGGGTGGGGCGTTAAGGGAAAATGGAGGAATGAACAGAGGAACTCTCTAGAAACAAGGAAAGAGTGACCTCAAACTTGGGGGTCCCAAGGGGAGGGACTTGGATACTGAGGCTCTATTGTTCAAAGATGTAGAGAGAGAGAGAGGGGTGAATGGGCGGTGGTCAGGGAAGGTCATAGACACGTGGAAGTGGCAGGCATAGAGGGACACAGGCATCTACACATGGCCACATGAAGGACCAAGGAAGCCAGGTGCCCTTCTCATGCACCCCAGCAGATGCCGAGGACAGTGGGCACTCCGGACTCCTAAGCACACAGAAATGAGCAGCCAGAGAGGCCAGAAGACATATACTGAGACTCAGCTGCCTGCACACAGGCACACACGCAGCCACAGATTAGAGCAAGTGATCCTGTATGTGGTTTGGAAAGACTATCACCCCTATTTGATCTTTATCTGATGAAATACACAATCGGTCCGGCCACCCCCCTTCCCACCCATCCCCCTAGCTCTGTGCTGTCTACACACAAATGTCTACGCACACAACGTGTATATGCACACTCAGGTGCATGCGAACGTTTCTCTGTGTGCCGGCCTCTTGGCATCTCTCGCTTGGTCTCTGTCTCTTAGCCTCATCAGCCTAGCAGTCTGCCCTCCTGACTCCCTTCCTCCCACCCTCCGCGCTTCCTTCTCCCTCCGATGGCTTCCCCTCCCCCCTCCCCTCCAGATGTCTGAGCCATCTCCCGGTGATTCATCCTCCTCAGGAAGGTAACGTGACCCCCTCCCCATTCCACCGGCTCTGGAGCATGGAGTCTGGGAAGATGAAGGGGAGATGGGGAATGGGAAAAAGAGGAGGGCTGGCAGAGAGAAAGGGAGGGGGGCTGCAGAGAGAAAGGGAGGGGGGCTGCAGAGTCATGGGGTGGGCGAGGCACTCCGGCAGGGTCTCCCGCTCCCCCTCTCCCTTCTCTTTGACATCTCCATAATCCTCTTGGCTTTCAGATGATTTTTTTCTCCTTTAGCTTGTTCCTTCCACCAATCTCAGATTTCTTTCTTTTCTTCTCCTCCCACTAATGACTCCCCCTTCTCCTTCCTCTTTCCCCGCAGAGCTGATGGGTTTTCTTCTGGGAAAGTCAAGCCACTGATGGAAGCGAGAAGCCACGGCTGGCTATAGTGGGAAAGCAAGAGAGAGAGAGAGGGAGGGAGAGAGGGAGAGAGAGAGAGAGAGAGAGAATAGGAAAAATGAGGAGGGGGTGAGAGACTCACTCCAAAGCACCCCTGAGCCCCTAACAGACAACCTGGGTTCATTACGGAACTCTCAGGGTTTGCGTGCCCGATGTGTGCCACAAGCACCCCTATGTCCGCAATTCTTGTGTGACTGGTGTGTGTCATTGTCACTGCCTCCCAGTTCCCTTCCCTCCCCTGCCCACGCCCCTGCATCTCTCTCGGCCGGTACTGCAGCCCCTCCAGCCTCCTTCCCTCCCTTCATTCCTGCAGTGGAGGCTCTACTCGCTTACCTCTCCCCTCCTCTGCCCCCTCCCCATTTCCGTCCTCCCGCCCCCGCCCACGGTCGGTCTCCCTTCACCGGACCCGGCTTGCTGATGGATTCTCTTTGCGCAGTCTGTACGTCATCGCCCCCCAGCCCCCACTCCCACCCCCGGAACCTCTAGCTCTCCAAGCCCCCGGCCCCAACCCCTCTGGCCGGAGATACGGACGAAAGGTCTGTGGGGGCGAGTAGGAAGGTCTCTGACGTTGTAGGCACCCCTCCCTACTCTTTCAGGTCATGAGGAGAGAGCCGGAGTTGAGTCACCCCCCCACCTGCGCAACCCCCTCCCCACCTGATGTGTGCTCGCCCTCCAAACGTCCTTCGAGGGGGGAAGAAGCGGTGGGAGGGGAAAAAAGCAGGAGGAGGGTGGGGAGAGGTGGGCTGAGGGGCGCTCCGCGGGGGGCGCCGACCTACGCTGCAATCCACGGGACACAAGGGCAGACACACGTTTCTTCAGGCACGCACCTGCCGTGAGCAGATACGACCCACCGGCACACGTCCTTAGCCTAGCCCTCTTCCTAGACTCAGACCCTTCCGCAAGATCCACCCTGCTGCCCCGACCCTAGGTCCCCACCGCAGACCGGAGGACAGAGCCCGGAGGCGGGCAGGTCCATCCCTCCGAGGGTTCACACCGTCCTTGGGCGGGTTCCCCAAGGACCGCGACGCTGGGAGTAGCAGCGGGTCTCCTTCCCGGCTTTCTAGCTCTTATCGGCCCCGCTTCCCAGTAAGGATCGCCAACTGGGGCCCAGTCAGGTGCTGGGGAGGTCTCTGTCCTAGCCTGCTCAGCGGGGCGGACTCCAAGTGGCGGCGGCGGCGAGTGGCTCCATTGCCCACCCTTCCCGCCTTCCAGGGCCTCGGCATCCACCCTTCCATTCAATCTTTCATTCATTCATTCATCCTTTTCTCCTCGTCCCTCCTTCATTCATTCATAGACCCCTGCCCCGCCCGTCTCCCCATTTCATTCATTCATTCATTCATTCATTTCCCGGCGTCTGGCTAGCGCACACCCCTCCAGCATAGGTCCCTCAACACGCAGGCGCGGGCTCGAGCGACGCGCACCCTCCAATCGCTGGGCGCCCGCCCGCTACCCCATGAATGAACATTGACGTCAGCGGGGCGGGGCGCGCCCACGTGACTCCGCGCTCTCCTCTTTATAAGGCGGCGGCGGCGCGGGCGCTGTCCAGCGTGCTGAAGCCGGAGCTCCGAGCCGCGCGGACACAGCTGAGCCCAGCCCACTGGACGTCAGACTTCTCCCGTCGCTCGCTCCCCATCCACCCACCGTTCGGAGCCGAGGCGGAGTCCTCCCGATCTTCCCCTGCCTCTACCCTGCCCCGAGCCTCCTCTCCAACTCCCGCGTCGTGGCACCACCTGGTAAATACTCCGCTGTCCCTTTCTCAAACCCTCAGCAGCCATGGGCGTGAGGGAGGGTTCTCTCTCCCTGTTGGGGGTATTGAAAACGCAGTGGGGGAGCCCCTGGTAAAGGCTCCTGGTAAATGGGGAGTTGCCGGTCTCCTCCGGCTGCAGTCGCCCACGCACCATCGGGGAGTCCTGGGGGGGGCGGGAGCAGAGATTCCCTACACGCCCCCCCAGCCTTATCCGTGCTGCTAAGTACGTGGGCGAGGGCAGTGTGATGGCTCAGGGGAGGGGGCGAGGAAGAATTGGGAGGGCGAGGGACGCGGGGCGGGCGTTCCTTCCCCATTTACACCACTCCAGAGATCTGCACCAGCGCCAACCTTCTCTTCAGGGTAAGGTTGTTGGGGGAAGTAGGGAAGCCCCTGATTTCCTGGTTAAAGGTGGAGCGGGGTGGGGGGGGGAGAAGGATAGGTAGCGTTGGAAAACGGGGAATTCCTACTGAAATCCCTTCTTTCTTGGACCCTTCTCTCTTCACAGCCTCGAGCAGCACCCTTGGTCATGGAAACCCTGCAGCTGCTGGCTTCTGCCCTCTTCTGCTGCCTTCTATTGATCAGGGGGTTGGGAGCAGCGCCCCCGGGACGCCCTGAGGCGCAGGCACCTCCTTTCAGCTCTGACCATAAAGTGGCAGTAGCTGGAGACCCAGTGCCCGGGTCCAAGGAGGGCAGCCCCCCCGAGGTCCGAGCTGCTCGGAATTCCGAGGCGCAGGACGAAGGCGATCTCTTCCAGGGCGTGGATCCCCGGGCGCTGGCCGCGGTGCTGCTGCAGGCACTCGACCGGCCGGCCTCGCCCCCAGCATCAGGCGGCTCCCAGCAGGGGCCGGAGGACGAGGGGGCAGAGGATCTGCTGACCGAAACCGTGCGCAGCCAGACCCACAGCCTCCCGGTGCCGGAGACCCAAGCGCCTCCGGTGCCGCCTCGCCCCCAGACTCAGGAGGAGAGTGGTCCCGAGGGCTACCCTACCGAAGAGCTGGAGGCCCTGGCGTCCTTACTCCAGGAACTGCGAGATTTCAGTCCCAGCAACGCTAAGCGGCAGCAAGAGACGGCGGCCGCCGAGACAGAGACCCGTACGCACACGCTGACCCGTGTCAACCTGGAGAGCCCCGGGCCGGAGCGCGTGTGGCGCGCTTCCTGGGGAGAGTTCCAGGCGCGCGTCCCCGAGCGCGCGCCCCTGCCACCTCCCGGCCCCCCGCAATTCCAGGCGCGTATGTCCGAGAGTGGGTCCTTGCCCGAAGCCCACCGGTTCGGGGAAGGGGTGTCTTCCCCCAAAGCACACCTGGGAGAGGCACTGGCACCCTTGTCCAAGGCGTACCAAGGCCTGGGAGCCTCCTTCCCCAAGGCGCGCCGGCCGGAGAGCTCGCTCTTGGGCGGCTCCGAGGCGGGGGAGCGCCTCCTACAGCAGGGGCTAGCGCAGGTAGAGGCTGGGCGGCGGCAGGCGGAGGCCACTCGGCAAGCCGCGGCGCAGGAGGAGCGACTGGCAGACCTGGCCTCGGACCTGCTGCTCCAGTATCTGCTGCAGGGCGGGGCTCGGCCGCGCGGCTTGGGGGGCCAGGGGCTGCCGGAGAAGGTGGAGCCGGCGAGCCCGAGGGAGGCGGAGGCGGAGCAGGAGAGGCGCGGCGGGGAGGAGAGGGAGGAAGAAGAGGATGAGGAGGCGGCGGAGGCGGAGGCGGAGGCGGAGGAGGCGGAGAGGGCGCGGCAGAACGCGCTCCTGTTCGCCGAGGAGGAGGAGGACGCCGAAGCCGGAGCCGAAGACAAGCGCTCCCAGGAGGAGACGCCCGGCCACCGGCGGGAGGGGGCCGAGGAGGGCGGGGAGGAGGAGGACGACGACGATGACGAAGAGATGGACCCGCAGACCATCGATAGCCTCATTGAGCTGTCCACCAAACTGCACCTGCCAGCCGACGACGTGGTCAGCATCATCGAGGAGGTGGAAGAGAAGCGGAAGCGGAAGAAGAACGCCCCTCCCGAGCCGGTGCCGCCCCCCCGGGCCGCGCCCGCTCCCACCCACGTCCGCTCCCCGCAGCCCCCACCCCCGGTTCCCGCGCCCGCTCACGACGAGCTGCCCGACTGGAACGAGGTGCTCCCGCCCTGGGATCGGGAGGACGAGCTGTATTCCCCGGGCCCCTATCACCCTTTTCCCAACTACATCCGGCCGCGGACACTGCAGCCACCGGCCGCCTCGCGCCGCCGCCACTACCATCACGCCCTGCTGGCTCCGCGCCACCCTCTCGGCCCCGAGGCCCAGGCGCGGCGCGCGCAGGAGGCGGCCGAGGCGGAGGAGCGGCGGCTGCAGGAGCAGGAGGAGCTGGAGAATTACATCGAGCACGTGCTGCTCCGGCGCCCGTGACCCGCCGGGCTCCGCCCGGGCACTTCCCCCTCCGTGTCCCCCCTCAGTGTTTGCATGCGCCCTGGCCCCGGCCCCGCCCTCCCTCGCCCGCGGGCCCCGCCCCGCCCCAGGGCTGTGCCAAGATCTGTCAAACCTCTTCCTGGATCCGAAGCCCAAATTCCCACACTCACCCTTGGGTGACCTGGGGGCCAGTCTGGGTGGGCCCGCGGTTTGTGCGAATTCCTTCCCCAACGCCCCCCTTCCCCTCCCCCCACTGAAACCTGAAAACTGCCGTTCCAGTGAGTTGTGAAGACGTGTGTCTGTCTCCCCCTTGGTGTCCCACGACCCCCATCCCCCCTTCAGATCGCTGTGAACTGACCCCCTTTCCTTCTCTGTTGTAAATACCCCTCACGGAGGAAATAGTTTTGCTAAGAAATAAAAGTGACTATTTTAGTAGGACTTTGTTCTCCCTTATTCACCCGTCCCCTTGGGCCTGCTGGGGCCTTCACAAGGGGCGGTGAGGGAAACGCCAGTCACCCCTCTGCCCATCACAGCAGAAAGGAAGGTGAGGTCACTTCAGGCAGTATTGGGGGCAGCAGACAGCATACACCCACTCAGAAGCCCTAAATTCCCCTTTGGGCTGAGGGAGAAAAACCCAACTGCCATCACATCTGACTCATGGCGGGTCTATAGAGGGTTTCTGTAGGGGAGTAAAAAGCCTCATCTTTCTCCCCAGTGGCTGCTGGTTTGGCAGTTAGCAGCCCAGCATGTAACCAGCTGAGGGATGAGGCAGTCAGTAGGCCATTTCCCCTCGGGGTTTGGCAATGAGCCACCAGGGAGATGCCACCTGTCCAAGTCCGGTGGAGGGTGGGAGTGGCAGGGTAGCTTCTCCACTGCCCGGTCCATCTCCTGGCCAGCTGCCCTCTCCTTTCTGGAACCACCACCTTTCCAGGTCCCATCCACTAACCTACGTGAGTAGGCTGCTAACCAATGCAAGGTCAGCCTTGGAACCTATGAGCTTCACTCCCAGGGAGGGAAGGCTGGAGGGAGGGAGACAAGGCTGTCTGCACCTGAGCCTCTGAAACCCAGAGGCAGCCCTACTCTGCCCTCACAGGGCCCCTGACCAGAAGCATACTTGCCAGGAGGAGCCCGGGGTGCCACTAAGGGGTCAGCACTGGGCTGTGCTAGCAAGGTCAACAGTTCAAAACCACCGGGAAAGAGAGATGAAGGCTCGGAAACGATACGGGGTCTCCAGGAGAAAGACGAGGCTTCTGCTCCTCTATCTGAAGCCCTCCACAGCAGTGGTTCTCAACCGTCCTAAAGCCTCCACCCTTTAAGACAGTTTCTCATGTGGTGGTGACACCCAACCATAAAATTATTTTCGCTGCTATTTCATCACTGTCATTTTGCTACTGTGATGAATCGGGGGACACCTGTGAAAGGGTTGTTCGACCCCCACAGGGGTCACGGCCCACAGGTTGAGAACCACTGCTTTACAGGGTGCAACTTTGAATTGCAACGGACTTGGGTACAGTGGGTTTTCTTACTCACTTGCCATAGAAGGGAGATGAGGCTTTCTACTCCTGCAGAAACCCACAGGGGCAGTTATATAGGGTCCCTGAGTCGGCATTGACTCCATAGCAGGGAGCTTGGTTTGTCACTTGCCAGGAACTATGGAGAACAGGAATGGGCCGCCCCAACACCCTCAGGCCCTCCTCCACCCTCTCCTAAACAGGGGATGTGTCCTCACCACTGAACCCCTCCCTCCTCCAATCAAAAGCGGGGTGCATGCAAAGCTGCCACCCCCACCTGACACCCAGGCCCGGCTCACCAGGAGAGCGGATCGATGCCACTTCCAGAGGAAGTGCTCCTTCCTGGTAGGGGCAGCTGGGGTCCGAGAGCTGGGGAGAGGCCCCGAGCACACACGTCCTCAGGAAGGGCCGCCCGGTTCAAGGCCTGGCACCCAGTCCACTGTACAACAGATGTGGTTTTAGCAGACGGTATTGCAAGACACACACTTAGACCCAGAAAAGGCTCCTTTGTTCATCCCTAGAAATTCCCATGGAGCGGGGTCTGCCTGTGACTAAATTTGGCAGCCCTTTGTGGGGAAGAGGGGAGCAGGCAGTGTTCCCTGGGCCTCCTGACAGATCCCAGCAGTCAGTCCTGTCTCCCTCACTGAGACCAAGGCACGCAAAGTCCAGAAAGGGTTTTCCTTTTATTGTAGAAGAAAGGAGGGGGGGAAAAGTCAGACCCGCCCAACCACCCCATTAGCTCTTGAATCATCCTGCACGTGGAGGGAGGAAGGTCAGGTCACAGTCTCTCACAGAACTCTCCCTTCCCCCAACCCTTCCCTCAAGGTGGCAAGGTTAGAAAAAAATTAACTGTTGTCCCTCCCCTGACACTGTGGCACTGAGAGCAGGCAGGGCGGGCAGGCCCTCCAGGGGCAGTGGCCCCTGAGAGGGCAGAGGGGGGCGGGGAGAGGGTGGAGGTAGGCTATGGGGGCAGGGAAAAAGAGAAGAACCCTGGACATGTCTCCCTTTAACCTGATGTATTTATATATGTACAGTTAGAAGGGAAGGGAGGGGGGAGGCCAGCGATGAAATCCAAAGAGCACCCCATCTCTATCACATTTTCGACCCCCACCCCCTTCTGCCTCAGGTAGGAAAAGGGAAAACGGGGGATGTGGGGGATGTTGGTAGAGAGGGAATGTTTGCGGGTCCTGAGCCTGCAGCTCACTCCACAAGAAGGTGAGGGGGCAGCCAGGTAGGTGTGTGTGTGGGGGGGCGGGGGGGCTCAGCTCGGGCCCACGGAGACGGCGAGATGCCACTGGCCCCGGTTACACACACCAGGGCTAGGCCAGGC